GCTACACCTTAAACCTTATATACTAAACCCCAAATCATTCAATTATACTAGCTTTGGTATTGTGATTTGATAATTTTGATTGTACTAATTTTATACTTAGCCTCCAATATTATTATAGTGTAGTAAGTTTTTTATTTAATATTTCATGAGTATTTAAGGTCGTTATCATACATTATTTATGTTTAATATGTGTAGGTTAATGGAGAGTAAAGAAAATAATTTGACAAATGCAAAATATTTGCATGAACTTTCAAAAGATGATATACTGGGTTTGGAGTTTGATGATTTAGAAGATGTTTATGAATTTTATAAAGCATATGCTTGTGCCATGGGCTTTGGTGTTCGTAAAGGTAACTGTGGGCAAAAAAAAATGGAATTGAAGTTATGAAGCATTTTGCTTGTTCGAAGGAAGGACATAGGGTTGAAAAATGAGAAAAGCTAGAGAACCAGGTGCAAGAACCTAAAAGGTCATCTAGAACAGATTGCAAGGCTAACATTCGGGTCATTCTAAACAAAGATACAAGAAAATTGTATGTTTCACATTGTGAACTTGAACATAATCATCCGATGGTAAATCCCGCTCAAATATGTTTCATTCTTTCAAATAGCCATATTAAAGTAGCCGATGTCTGTGAAGCAAAAGCTATGAAAGTTGCAAGTATCAAAACATGTCAAGTGATGAATGCTTTGCAGCTCAAGCGGAGGCCATTCAAAATGTTAGTTTTACTCGTAAAGATTTTTATAATCGTGTGGCAGTCGAAAAACATGCTGAAATAAATGATGGTGATGTTCAAGCGACGTTATTATATTTTAGAGTGAAAAGAGAAAAAGATAATGGATTCTATAAGAAGCACACAACTTATGATGATAACAAACTGAAGAATTTATTTTGGGCTGATTCTATATCAAGATCAGATTATGCTTGTTTCGATGATGTTTTGGCATTTGACGCAACTTATAAGAAAAACACATTTAATGTGCCTCTTTTGGTTTTCATTGGTGTGAACTATCATCATATGACCACCATTGTTGCATTAACATTATTGACAAATGAAGATGCTGAAAGCTACATTTGGGTTTTGACCACATTTTTAGAATGTATGATGAACAAAAAGCCAATATTTGTGGTTACAGATGGGGATCGAGCTATGAGAAAGGCATTGAAAATGGTGTTCCCTGGAGTACGACACAAGCTATGCTCTTGGCATCTTGCTCGTAATGCCTAAGCAAACGTACTACTACTTGGATTTGTTTAGCATTTTAAAGCTTGCATGAAATTTTGGTGGATAATTGATAAGTTTGAAAGAGAATGGAAAGATATGGTAAAAAAGTTTGCATTACAAAGACATCAATGGATAGATGAGATGTATAAAAAGAAGCATATGTGGGCCCAATCACACTTGAGTGGCCATTTTTTTGGAATAATTACGAGTACATCTTATTGCGAAGGTTTGAATTCTTTTATATCTTTTCTTACAAAAGAGAGAAAGACATTATTGGAGTTTGTTAGAGTAATTGAAGATGGAATTAAAAATATTCGAAATAATGAGATTAGTGAAGATTACATATCCATCCATATAGAGCCAGTTTCTAGCTAAATTTTCAAAGATATTGAAAAGCATGCTGCAAGTGTTTATGCAAGAAGAACATACAAAAAGTTTATAGATGAAATGCGTTTACAACAATTGTATTATCATGAATGTCGCATTGATGATGAGCCATCTATACGGGTGTACTATTTGATGAAGTATGGAGATCTTTCTGAGCAAATACGTGTGGAGTTTCATGTATATGATGAAAATATAAAATGCTTATGTCTTAAATTTGAAACAAATGGTATACCATGTCCACATATCATTCATGTGATGATTTTAGAGC